AAAGGTGTAAACCGTGTAGTAATAAAAACGTATTCAGGCTGAAAACTTCAAACATGTTTAAAGGTACATTTTTGTGTAGCTGGCCAAGACGAACGGCACGCGAGCATGTCTGATGACATCACTCAGTAATACTTGATTACTGTCTTAACCAGTTACCATTTCGTTGTTCTAGTCTCTGTGATCATTTAGTTTTGATAATTGCCTGTGTTGGACGCATTTTTATATTAACCGACCTTTTGTTTTTGTCTAGACTGTTGAATATAACCTTGTCAAGCTGGGATGTCCATTTACAGTACAGAATAATGAGCCGTTCAAACCAGTCATTCACTTGTAAGCTATATAAGCAATAGCCTTCATTTGGCGCCAAAACATGCTCGGATATTTGTCCTGGACATTATCTGTTCTGAGAAGTGAACAGTTTTCAACGAGCATAGCTCGGGCAGTTTTGTATTTTGGGGAATATCACTCAAATATTCCCAAGTTTTAGCCGGGGCACATTCATTCAAGTGATGAGTTTAGACCAATCGCGTGCGAGCGAAAATATTTGATGGATTAAAAAGTGCATTACCGTCGTAGAATCCGTCGTTACCGAGAGTGTTTAAAGGATCAGTACAAGCAATCTTCAGTCCCTTCAAAAACGTCCCAATATAACCAAAGTATCTTTCAAAATACCCAAGATGTGGAGAACGTGGTAACCGCGTCGCACAAAATTATAAGCAAACAACAACATAAAGTCACATGTTAGCGTAAAAATACCGCTTAAACCCAGTTTTAACTTTAAGGCATACCCTTTAACGAAATCATCCAGTAAAATACATAGATGATTTTTTCAGATATGACGGAGAAACTTTTGTAAAAGAAGTAGATGTGAACTATGTCATGTGGGAACAGCACGGACGAGCAGGCTATAAGTACAGTGCAACAATGAAAGAGGTGTGTCACTGGGGCAAGCGAGTAGCTGTAGGCAACTTAAGTGTCTACTTTTAGATCTGTTAACGTTGGTAGAAATAATGTAGGTGAGATATTTATATATATATTACAATAAGATGGTTTTACAGCTTTGGAATCCTGGAAAGAAAGAGCAAAGCGAATTTACTACGCCGACGTGATCTCACCTTAAATTTATTTGCTTTTTTTTTACCTTGGTTTCAGTGCTCTAACACTACCTTGTTCTAATATTGTTTCTTATAAAAAGCCACTTATACTTCGGCCAGACTTTGAAAAACGTACAACCAGGGAAAAGGGTGGGAAGACGCGTAACCGGACGAAAGAGCGGCAAAACATGTAACCGATGGCAAGCGCGGGAAATCATGAGGCAGAGAGCACGGGAAACCGTGTAACGGACGAAAAACGCGAGAATAGTCGGGTAGGGCAAT